CAAAAAAATATACGTATTTTGGAAATGTTGAGTCGAATTAGTCTAGAATCGATTAATTTTATGAAAGAAAACCTTTCAAACAGCCGTAGTCCGTAAACTATGATTCCTACAAAATTGATTCATAAAGAACGGAACGTATCTACTGTCTTATAGGGGGATCTACTGTATGTTCCTTCTGCCCCCAAAATTATAAGCCTGTTAAATTCAGTGAATTTAATCAAGCATGTGAAATGTCATTTATTATAAAAAATTAAAATATAAAAAAAGTCATGATTAATTAACAAACTCAACAATATGTTTTATATATATTCCCACAATCTTTCATAGCTCTGTATACAAATTTTAAATCACTCATGTTGTTTAAGTCCTTATCCATTATTTTTTATTGAATCGATCAGGTATAAAAACTTGAAATTCATTCCATTCGGTGTCCATGAGAACTACAAATTTTTTATAACCAAAGCGAGTGGATACTGTTTTAAAATAATGAATTGGATATTCATAATAAATTTGCAACTCGTTTAATTTTTTCCTTCGAATATTTTGAAGTTTACCAATATTGTTTAGTTTTTTCTGTGTCTCCATTTATAAAAAAGAAAATTTAATGAATATTGAAACACTCAAAATCTGGCTCATGCTGTAAAATCTATGAATATGTAAAAATCTACCTAGTTGTGTACGTAAAAATCTACCATGAGGTGTATCAACATAATCCAAGATACGTAAATGCCCTCTTCCATCTTTCCAAATATAATAATTCCTTACTTTCCCACCGTAGAAAATTAATACCGACTCAACATTACTAATATTAGTCTCCATTTATATTGTATAGTGAAAAAATTATTTATCACAAATTCTTGCTAACAATGAAACAACTATATTTTTATAATTATTTTCAATAAATTCGTTGCAGAACCTTTTGTTTAAAATAACATCACACCAATCAATTTTATTTTTATATTTTGTAATAAAATCTTCGGATAATTCTTGATATTTATCAACTGTTTTCCAGTCTAATACATTTAATTGATCTAAATCTTCTAGTAATTTTTCTGATATGGTTTGATATCTTATAAGTGAATTTTAATTTAATTTTAGAGCATTTTTCTAATAAAGTCATTATCTAAATTTTGAAATCGAGATATAGCTACTTTATTACCATTTCACTTTATTTTTATATTCTAGAATAAATTTTGAAGATAATGTTTGATGTGTAGAGATGAATTTCCAATTAACGTTATCTTTATGTTGTCTTAAAAAATTTTCAGAGTCTTTGGTGTTCTGTTATTTTTTCCAGTTAATTTTTCCTTTAAATTCGTTAATAAAAAATTCAGATAATTTTTGTCTTTGAGATATTGAATCTCAATTTACTCTATTTTTAATTAAATTCCCTTATGAAACGTTCTGACAACTTTTGAAGTATTGAAATCAAATCCCAATTAACTTTATCTTTGAATTATCTTATTAAATCCTCTGTTAAATTTTTTCGTTTAGAAACATTATCCCAGTCAATAGCCCGCTTTATTCTAGAGTTCATTTATATAAGAAAAAATTTATGTTTTAATGCAAATGAATGAATACAATCTTTTAATATATGTCTCTTATCATCATGTGGTGATAATGCTAACTTTTTTACCTTCATAGAATATATTTCGTGCTTTTTACTTCTAATTAAATTTATTGTTTAATATTGCTCCATTTTATTAAATAAACAGTCTTTCTAATCCTCAAATGATATTCTATTTTTAACTACACGTTTCTTAACGCCTTTAGTTTTACTTTTTATCTTTATCCTCAACTTTGAAGGCATACACTTTTGCTCTTAAACCAACAAATTCAGCTATTATTTTACCATTATTGTCATATTTTATTTTTCCTAAATCTTTCTTGTTTACGCTAGTTTAGCCATATGAAAATAATTAATCATTCCTTTCATATCCTGATAGAAATCATCAGTTTTTATATCATAATTGTAAGAGTACTAGTGGTTTGAGTAGCACTAAGCACAAAATTAATTTCAGATGTCGATTAAATTAAAATTGCAAATAAAAATTTGTTGAATAGAATTATTTCAGATCACAAAATTAATTTTTAAATGAATTTTCTAAATAAGTTTGATTGGCACTAGTCACAAAATTAATTTTTCTAATCACAAAAGTAATTTTTACTCAAAGGAAATAATCTGAATGTTGTGAGAATATTCAAGTAAATTTCTAAAATATAAAAATTAAATGTTTTAATATCGAATAAAATTAAAAGACGATAATTGTATGAAATAATATAACATTTAAATTATTTTGAAAAGGTTTTTATTTTTATGTTACAGTTTATTTAGGGGAGACCGTGACAACTTCGGCATGCGGGGCAAGTTTGTCAAGCGCTTTTTTTAAAAAACAAATTAAAAGGAGACTTTGGTTATAGGTTAGGCAGTTGAGTTTTATTGGTGGCTTGTTGAGTGTAGTGTTTTTATTGTTCTCCAACAAGNATTATAGATATTGTTATGTATACTTATAATTTATGTTTGAAAATTTATAGTATTATACCAATTCAAATTATTTACAATAATAATCGAAATTCTTACTCAGAACATCTTTTCGAAATTCCTCTAACGTTTCTTCATCCCAACTGTAATCAGGTTTTCGTTGAGCTTTCGTTTCATCTGGCGTATCCATAGTAATTTATCCGTATTATTTCTCGTAATACGTAGAAAATTTTAATAATGGACGAAAGTAAAATATAGTTGTTTACAACTGAAAAAAACTAGAGCTTAACGATGTAACTACGAAAAAATGAAAGATAAATAATTAGACTTTATTACTTTTTTTATATTCTTTTTCTATTACTCCATTGGTTTAACTTGATAAGATATAGGCCTAGTAAAATGACCTTAAACATTGATAGTATATATAAGTAAGTAGCAGTCAATGTTTACAATGTACCTGTACATCTGTATTAGAAAGTAAATCGATCGTCTATACTAGTGCATTATACAAACGGGCATTAAAATGTAATTATGTTTAAATAATAGTGTGTTTTACACAGTATTAATGAAGAATAATTTGCAATAACATAGACATATATTAATATTTATTTAGTTTAAACTACTTTAATCACATAATCTATGTGTACTATATTAGAAAATATTAAGCGTGATAAATCTTGAGTTCCTCCCAAAAGCCTGGTCTCTATTTAAATAAAAACACGCCAAGACAGGGTCGGCAACCTGGCTCTTCCGACTCAAAAGGTTGCCGACCCCTGCGCCATGAGAAAGTCCGATACATCTACATGTCCAGCTTTACCTTCCACTGTTCTCGCCAAATGAATAAAGTATATTTCATTTCTTATAAAAATTGTATAAACGAAATATGCTGTTTTAATACTAAAGTTAAATGTATATTTTATAAAATTTATGAAAAACTTAACATTATCTTACAATAATATTACACTATGACTGTGTTTATTATTACACTAGTATAAATACACTACTATAAAAATATTTAAATGATAACATGTAATATAGAAATTTGTAATTGTATTTACTTTTATTTCGCAAATAAAATTATTTATCATATAATCTGACACATTTCTTAATATAAACTGCGGCTGTCTAGAGTTAACAACAAAATGGCGTTATGTAGTAAAATTATATTTAAAATTTTTTAATAAACTAAATTTTTTAATAAACTATCTTTGCAAAGATATCAGTAGTAGTGGTTTGACACATACTGATCACAAAATTAATTTTTCTAATCACAAAAGTAATTTTTACTCAAAGGAAATAATCTGAATGTTGAGAATATTCAAGTAAATTTCTAAAATATAAAAATTAAATGTTTTAATATCGAATAAAATTAAAAGACGATAATTGTATGAAATAATATAACATTTAAATTATTTTGAAAAGGTTTTTATTTTTATGTTACAGTTTATTTAGGGGAGACCGTGACAACTTCGGCATGCGGGGCAAGTTTGTCAAGCGCTTTTTTTAAAAAACAAATTAAAAGGAGACTTTGGTTATAGGTTAGGCAGTTGAGTTTTATTGGTGGCTTGTTGAGTGTAGTGTTTTTATTGTTCTCCAACAAGCGTAGTTGAATTATCAAGCNTTACATTACAGTTTATTTAAGTTTTAATATCAAAGAGAATTAAAACACGATAATTGTATGAAATAATATAACATTGAAAAGGTTTTTATTTTTACATTACAGTTTATTTAAGTTTTAATATCAAAGAGAATTAAAACACGATAATTGTATGAAATAATATAACATTGAAAAGGTTTTTATTTTTACATTACAGTTTATTTAAGTTTTAATATCAAAGAGAATTAAAACACGATAATTGTATGAAATAATATAACATTGAAAAGGTTTTTATTTTTACATTACAGTTTATTTAAGTTTTAATATCAAAGAGAATTAAAACACGATAATTGTATGAAATAATATAACATTGAAAAGGTTTTTATTTTTACATTACAGTTTATTTAAGTTTTAATATCAAAGAGAATTAAAACACGATAATTGTATGAAATAATATAACATTGAAAAGGTTTTTATTTTTACATTACAGTTTATTTAAGTTTTAATATCAAAGAGAATTAAAACACGATAATTGTATGAAATAATATAACATTGAAAAGGTTTTTATTTTTACATTACAGTTTATTTAAGTTTTAATATCAAAGAGAATTAAAACACGATAATTGTATGAAATAATATAACATTGAAAAGGTTTTTATTTTTACATTACAGTTTATTTAAGTTTTAATATCAAAGAGAATTAAAACACGATAATTGTATGAAATAATATAACATTGAAAAGGTTTTTATTTTTACATTACAGTTTATTTAAGTTTTAATATCAAAGAGAATTAAAACACGATAATTGTATGAAATAATATAACATTGAAAAGGTTTTTATTTTTACATTACAGTTTATTTAAGTTTTAATATCAAAGAGAATTAAAACACGATAATTGTATGAAATAATATAACATTGAAAAGGTTTTTATTTTTACATTACAGTTTATTTAAGTTTTAATATCAAAGAGAATTAAAACACGATAATTGTATGAAATAATATAACATTGAAAAGGTTTTTATTTTTACATTACAGTTTATTTAAGTTTTAATATCAAAGAGAATTAAAACACGATAATTGTATGAAATAATATAACATTGAAAAGGTTTTTATTTTTACATTACAGTTTATTTAAGTTTTAATATCAAAGAGAATTAAAACACGATAATTGTATGAAATAATATAACATTGAAAAGGTTTTTATTTTTACATTACAGTTTATTTAAGTTTTAATATCAAAGAGAATTAAAACACGATAATTGTATGAAATAATATAACATTGAAAAGGTTTTTATTTTTACATTACAGTTTATTTAAGTTTTAATATCAAAGAGAATTAAAACACGATAATTGTATGAAATAATATAACATTGAAAAGGTTTTTATTTTTACATTACAGTTTATTTAAGTTTTAATATCAAAGAGAATTAAAACACGATAATTGTATGAAATAATATAACATTGAAAAGGTTTTTATTTTTACATTACAGTTTATTTAAGTTTTAATATCAAAGAGAATTAAAACACGATAATTGTATGAAATAATATAACATTGAAAAGGTTTTTATTTTTACATTACAGTTTATTTAAGTTTTAATATCAAAGAGAATTAAAACACGATAATTGTATGAAATAATATAACATTGAAAAGGTTTTTATTTTTACATTACAGTTTATTTAAGTTTTAATATCAAAGAGAATTAAAACACGATAATTGTATGAAATAATATAACATTGAAAAGGTTTTTATTTTTACATTACAGTTTATTTAAGTTTTAATATCAAAGAGAATTAAAACACGATAATTGTATGAAATAATATAACATTGAAAAGGTTTTTATTTTTACATTACAGTTTATTTAAGTTTTAATATCAAAGAGAATTAAAACACGATAATTGTATGAAATAATATAACATTGAAAAGGTTTTTATTTTTACATTACAGTTTATTTAAGTTTTAATATCAAAGAGAATTAAAACACGATAATTGTATGAAATAATATAACATTGAAAAGGTTTTTATTTTTACATTACAGTTTATTTAAGTTTTAATATCAAAGAGAATTAAAACACGATAATTGTATGAAATAATATAACATTGAAAAGGTTTTTATTTTTACATTACAGTTTATTTAAGTTTTAATATCAAAGAGAATTAAAACACGATAATTGTATGAAATAATATAACATTGAAAAGGTTTTTATTTTTACATTACAGTTTATTTAAGTTTTAATATCAAAGAGAATTAAAACACGATAATTGTATGAAATAATATAACATTGAAAAGGTTTTTATTTTTACATTACGGTTTATTTAAGTGTTTCCACTTTTTCCTTCAGTTTATCTAAAGCAAGATATATTTCTGCACATAATAATTTTTCAGGATATAAATTATTTTCAGATCAAAAATTTCGAGTAAATTAAGATTATAAATAATTTTAATAGTGAGAAAACTTTTTAATTCATTTCTTTAGAAAAGATTTTCAGTTTAATTCATTGCTTCATATAAAAATTAATATGCGATAAATAATTTTTACAATTTGTTCTAATATCCAAGTAAATTAAAACACGACAACTTAAAATAATATTTTAACAATAAGACAAAGTAGAATAGGGAAATAGTTCAATATAATAATTATTTAAATTATATTTGTTACTTATTTATTAAATATCGTAAAGAGAACAATGCTTTTTATGATATTTGTGGTAATAACAATATTTAAATATTATCTAATCATTGACACCTAAGAAGTTTGATGTCTAAATAATTGTAGCTCAAGTTTAAAAAAAAATTTTTTTCTATCTGTCCACCTTTAAATAAAAATAATTTGTTATACGTTGTGAAATTATTTAATAACTTTTGTAAATTACTATGTTCAATCCAACCAGTTATATTTGATGGTTTTTTGTCTATAAAATTTAATCTATGAATTTATTTGCTACTAAAATTGATTCGCCATTGATCTTTCCCTGATAATTGATACTTTTTAACAAAATCTATATGAATGTCTAACATACCGCTTCTATAAGACTGTGTAATGCTTTTATGACCAACTGTCGATAACTTGAAATGCTCCAAAATCTATTAGAATCGCATTCTGTAATTTTATATAAATAAAAATTAGGATTATTATTATTTTATATTTAATAAGAAAATAACGAAAAAGATTTCATACATAAATATTTTTTACTGACCATATAGAATTTTTATTGACACCAAATGTCTTGTCTTCCTATTTTTGATATTATATTGTTATGAGCTATGGGGCTCGGGATATAAATTCAAAACACAGTTTACCGAAACTGACACATTTACTTAGATACACTAAAAAACAAAAACGTTATATAACCCGTTAAAAGAAAAACACAAATCTTCTCGAACGTTCTCATTTTTCCGAACTGTTTTTTTTTTTCTTTTTCAAAAACATTATTTTTTGTTTCCCCACTCTCCGCATCATGGTGCTAGTCTTTTTTTTAGAGCCGGCGCGACACTACCCTCCTCTTAAGGCATGCTGGTCCCGAGCATCGTTAGATCCATAGTACCGCGCCAAACGATCCACATGAACAATCTTAGGTGCAGTTCTCGACCTCTTCTGTATTCGGTAGGTGACATCGTTAATTCTAGTCACGACACGATATGTCCCGTCCCACTTCGGCTGTAATTTAGGGAACTTTTTCTTGCTGCG